CGGCAGTTTTTGCTGCCACTGTCACTGGGTGTGTTTTCATTATGTTTGATTTGGAAAGTTCTCAGTTCCAGGACCAGCTGGAGATGCCGTGGAGGTTGTGAAACCAGCCTGAGAGCAGGTTCTCCTTGTTCTTAAAACCACATGCTGTGGCAAGTGTGGAAATTCTGATCTCAGCCCCTTCATTCCTGATGCTCTGGGGAAACTCCTGGAAAATTACAAGAAAGACCGAAGTCCAACGTGGGTGCTGAGAGGGGATTTTCCAGCAAAGTGCTGGGAGTTTGGTACCAAGGTTCAAGGAAAAAAGGAAACCTGGGCGGGGCTGGGCATCAATACTGACTATCCAAGTCTGTGTTTTCAGAAGCACAGCCCATGTCCACCCAAGATTCAGCCCCTCTCTGCTCTACTGCTGTGTGACCTTTAGGAATCACTGAGCCTCTCTGGGCTTCTCTGGTACAATGGAGCCATACAGACCCATCCAGCAGTTTGTGTGAGGAATAACTGAGATCATGGGGCAAAAGCTGTAAAACCAAGTACCTGGGAGAGGGTAGAGACCCTGCGCCCCTGGGTGGTTGGGTGCAGGAAGCATGTGCGGGAGGGAGGTCTAACCACCCACACTCTCCAGCCGCAGCCCTAGAGAGAAGGTAGAGGAGGGGTTGGGCTGACATATCACCTCTTCCCTTGCCAGCTGCTGAGAGAGGAACAGGGGCAGCTCTAGTGAGTACCAGGTCCAGCCCCTATGAGGATCCTAGAAAAAGGAGGCAAAACTTCCAGGGCCCTCCAGGCTCTTGGTCTCCAGGCTCTTGGCCTCCAGGCCTGAGGCCGGGGCTATGCATGAATCAGGACTGCCTCCTAACTCCTCTGGAAACCAGGATGGCCACCGCCACTATCAGCACTACGTGCACACGAGTTATCTGGAATTCTTAACAGCCGCCATATTTTATGGGTCAGGAAACAGCTCAGAGATGGGAAGTAACTTGCCCAAGTTTTCAGTGTTCCCCAAGAAGCAGTGGGAAGATTCCACTGTAGGTTTTCCTGACTCCAAGGGCCAAATTCTTTCCACTATACCAAGGAGTTCGCACGAAGATACTGACTTCCAGTAAAAGCCACATGGTGAGCTTTGTCTCTACATCACGCTCATTCTAAGCAACTTTGGAACACGGAGAGGAGAGAAATGATCAGCACTGGCCCTGACCAGGAGGTGTCACAGGCTGAACTAACAGGCTCAGAGAAAAGGGGAATCTTCCTACGCTACTGGTGGGAATGCAAGCTGGTGCAGCCATTCTGGAAAACAGCATGGAGGTTCTTCAAAGTTCAAAATAGAGCTACCCTATGACCCAGCAATTGCACTACTGGGTATTTACCCCAAAGACACAAAGGTAGTGATCCAAAGGGGCATGTGCACCCCAATGTTTATAGTACCAATGTCCACAATAGCCAAACTATGGAAACAGTCCAGATGTCGATCAGCCAATGAATGGATGAAGAAGATGTGGTTCATATATACAGTGGAATATTATGCAGCTATCAAAAAAAGAAATCTTGCCATTTTCAACAATGAGGATGGAACTAGAGGGTATTATCCTAAGCAAAATAAGTCAACCAGAGAAAAATAATTATCATATGATCTCACTGATATGTGGAATTCAAGAAACAAAACAGGATCGTGGGGAAGAGAGGGAAAAATAAAACAAGACGAAATCAGAGAGGGAGACAAACCATAAGAGACTCTTAATCATAGGAGACAAACTGAGGGTTGCTGGAGGGGAGAGGGTGGGGGAATGGACATAAAGGAGGACACGTGTTGTAACGAACGCTGAGTATTATATAAGACTGATGGGTCTCATAAATCTACCTTAAAACCAATAATATGTTAATTAACTGAATTTAAATAAAAATAAAGGGCTCAGAGAAACACTGGCTGAACAGTAGACAAGCAGTCTCTCCATCCCAGGGAGGTCCGGGCAGCTGCTCTAACAACAAATGACATTCGACAAGCCCAAAGAGGCAGGCAGCCACACACTCAAAAGACCAGGAAGGTGGGAGCTGTATTCCTTGGGTGCAAATAGGGATAAGTTGTCCATGGACATTTTTAAAACCATAAGAACACACCTTAGGGGGGGCGCCTGGGTGGCTCAGTGGGTTAAGCCTCTCCCTTTGGCTCAGGTCATGATCTCGGGGTCCTGGGATCGAGTTCCGCATCGGGCTCTCTGCTCAGCGGAGAGCCTGCTTCCCCCTCTTTCTCTGCCTGCCTCTCTGCCTACTTGTGATTTCTCTGTGTGTTAAATAAATAAATAAAATCTTAAAAAAAAAGAAGAAGAAGAAGAAGAACGCACTTTGGGGTGCCTGGACATCTCAGTCGGGTAAGGGGCTGACTTTAGCTCAGGTCATGATCTCAGGGTCCTGGGATCAGGCCCTGCATCAGGCTCCCTGCTCAGTTGGGAGTCTGCTTGTCCCTCTCCCTCCGCCCCTCTCCCTGCTCATTTCCTCTCTCTCCTTCTCTCTCAAATAAAAATATTTAAAAATCTATTAAAAAAAACAACAATAGGGGCGCCTGGGTGGCTCAGTGTATTGAGCCTCTGCCTTCAGTTTGGGTCATGGTCTCAGGGTCCTGGGATCGAGACCCACATCAGGCTCCCTCCTCAGTGGGGAGCCTGCTCCCTCCTCTCTCTTCCTGCCTCTCTGCCTACTTGTGATCTCGCTCTCAAATAAATAAACAAAATCTTTTAAAAACAACAACAACAATAAAAACATACCAAAGGTTGGTCTGCTGTGTATCAGGTACCAATTTTAAAGAATATTAATGGTAAAATACTAGTGACTTAATTTTACTGATAAAATACTACTCACCCCTCCCCCAAAGCTATTTCCTTGAAGTTCTAATTGCTGTCATTACTATTAAGATTTAATTACATCCATGAGCCTCAAATGAGCACATTTTTATTTCTTTTTCTTTAAAAAACTTCATCTTCTACATGTAAGTTCGATCAGAGAACACTCCGTTGTTTAGTCTGCGGACACACAGACTCAGCTACTGTTCCAACAGTAAGTTCCAAGTGGCTCAGAGTGGTTCGAGCTCACGCTGGGCACGGTTTGTGTGCCGACTCTCAAGGTCCTGCATTTTCCTGTGTTTCAACACAGAAGACAGAAGAGCGGGCTCTCCCAGTGCCAGAAGAAACTAAAAGAGAAGTGGATCCCTTTTACTGAGAACTAGACTCATTCTAAAACAATGGATTAAATAAATGTCAGTGCCCACTATCACTCAACAGTTTCCTCTAATCTTTTGCAGAAGAAGGAAAACGGGAGAATTATGCCAAATAAGATAAAAACATATGATGAATTTTCTGGTGACAATGTTTCAGTGAAAATATTTCATATGTGGAGATATTGAAAAGCCACTAGATTGATTTTTTTTTTAAGACATAGGCAGTATTGTAATTTCTGGAATTTACTCCAAAATGTGATTTTTAGGAATTTCTATCAAACCTATCCTCACATTTAAGACTTTCCCTAGTTGTATATTTGTGATTTCATGTGAGAGGAGCTTTTGAAATTAAAATTAATAAAAAGTTCCCTTCAGTCAGCTGTGAGCAAAGACAGATGACAAATCGAGCTCAGCTGAATACGGAACATGAACATGCAAAGATCAATCCTGACAAAGTCACAGACAACTTTCCAGAAGTAAAAGTTCTAAAACAGAAACTGTCTTGTTGCTATTATTCGTGACCATGACCAATCTATAAGCTTTCTTTCAAAACTACATTCATGCAATTAAAAACTTATTTAAAAGATTTTATTTCTAAATTTTATTTTTTATAAACATATATTTTTATCCCCAGGGGTACAGGTCTAAAAGATTTTATTTTTAAGCAATCTCCACACCCAACATGGGGCTCAAACCCACGACCTTGGGATCAAGAGTCACGGGCTCTCCTGACTGAGCCAGCCAGCTGCCCCAAATTAAAAACTCCAAAACTCCTAATCCATGACTTTTTCCTATTTTTCTCCATAACATTTACCTTATTTTTCTTTTTCTTACTTTTTTTTTTTTTTTGCTTTTGCACTGGCATGATTCCACATACAAACCTCAATAAATAAGAAAATTTTCAGTTTCTTTCCTGGATACTCTTACTATCAGTTTCATGATTATTACTGAAAACAGTGTTGTCAGACCGAGGAGAGGGATGCTTAAAATGACCACTAGGGACATCATCTACGCCAGGTCCACCCTTTTCCAGTCCTGGCAGCATCTTTTTGTGTACTGAAATAGTAATACCAGTGAATTACAGGGGAGCACTCACTCTGCGTGGGGAGCACTCTTCCCAGCACGTCCTGTGTATTGAGTCTTATACACTCTGGGGAACCGACTGGCTTTGAGGCAAGAAGTGCTCAGAACAGCGGCCCCCGCAGGCCTGTGCCCCGCCAAGGGCTGGGTAGGAACACGACCCCAGGTGGGTCTACATCCGAGGCCGGTGCCCTGAATCCCTCTGTCACAGGTTCTGCTAGATCGAAGGGAAGCATTTGCTAAGCCCCTTTATGATTTCTGAACCAGATCACAGGTTAGAAAAAGAAAAAGTGAAAGCCGAGAAATTGCTGTCAGGGCTGATCATGGGGTGAGTCAGCCGAGACCAGAAAAGCCCGGAGAAAAGGTTAGACCCAGGCAGGGTCTGGAGCAGCAGGTGCAGACCAAACATCTGGCTCCAGGAGCCAGTCCAGATGTTCTGGTCTGACAGGCAGGAGGTGGGGGGAAATAGGACAGGGCCATCTGGGAGCAAGTTGCCCCTTGCTGCCTCCCTCCTCCCGGATGTCCTGCCTGCCCTGGCATTTGTTTCAAGAGGAGTACTGAGACATCTGGACCAGGAGCAGGCTAACCCACATGGGACACCTGATGGCCCGCGGCTGGGGGAGGTCCCACATCCCACTCCCAGTAACAACTCAGGCTCCAGGACAATGAGTCCCACTAAAACACAGCCCTCCTGCAGCCCACAATGCCCCACACTTACCATGGACGCACGCATCTTTTTCCGTCCTGTGGACCCTCAATTCCAGGCTGGAGTTGGGTGTATCCGCCGCCGTGTGAAGGCCTGAGGCAGGGGAAGCAGGAATTCATTATGTCTTTAATAGGGAACTGCGTTCCCAGGACCCCAGGATACCGCGGATTCTGGCAGAGATGGTGCGCAGTTCTCCTCTGACCCTTCCCAGGGCCACCCGCTCACTCTTGGCGTTCCTCACTGGCCCCCTCCCTATCCCTGAACTTGACTGTGAACTTATGAATCCCTTGAAGAGTCAGGGGAGGCTCACCAGACACCTGAGAGGCGGCGGCGCAGCCCGGGGAGGACGATCATTGTCGCCTACCCATGGTGGCGCTCGCGGCCCGGGGTGCCAGGGGGCGCGGCTGCTGGCAGGCTGCCCCCTCACTTGTTTACGCCCGCCTCCCCCAATTTCTCCGTCTCCCACGCGGCGTTCCTGGGGCTAGAGAGCCACCCCGAGCACCTCATCCTTCCTTAAGTTCGGGGAAGGGCCGCTCCACCCACCTCTCGAACTTGGGAGGCAGCGCACCGCCAAGGGACCGGGTTTAATGGCCGCAGAGGCTCCAGCCAGCGTAAGGTCACCCGGCTCCTCCCCGCGCGGCTGACTAATGAGAGCCTCGCTGAGCTCCCAGCCCCGCGGCAGGGACAGCCTGCTCCAGCCCCTGGGGCAAACGGGCAGGGATGCCTCCCACTCACCGCCACTCCCTACGCCCTCTCCACCTAGATGCGCCCCTGAACCCAGTTCCAGCGCCACCACCTCCTCGCGGATTCCACGTACGCGCCTCGGGCCGCCCATCTTGTAATACACGCCACCTGGATACACACCACGCTGGACTGTCATCCGTTTACTTATCTCCTCCAATCAAGTGGGCTTACAGTTTAAAACTATATTAAATTTGAAAACCATGTGAAGGCTTTCAGAAGTCCGGCAGAAAGAAAGCCCTTTTAACGATTGGGTCTTAAGCCATCAGATATCCCCCAAACCAGGTCCACAGCTCAAATTCCATGAATGAATGACCAGACACAGGCCCTTCCTGGCACCCCACTCTGGCTGGACTCTGGCTCCCTAAGAGTGGAACGAGCTCCTGTTCATCCCTCTTGTCCCCACTCCCAGCCAGCCCTGCACCTTGCCTTCGAGATGTTTGGGCCACATCCTGGCCCAGTCACTTGCTGGCTGTAGGGTCCAGGAACCCGTCCCCCTCTGAGCCTGGTCTATTCATCTCATAAACAGAGCGATGGTGATGCTGGACAATATGTAAGATCACAGGTGAAAATACATTCCCCGAAGGGAGAGCTGCAGATGAAATGATGCTTACGAAGCACGGAGCCTGGTGCGTGGCACGTGGTAAATCCTCGTGGGGACACGTCAGCTGTTAACAGGAGGAAAAGCACAGGCTCGTCAATGACATCACACGTCAGTCACCAGCTTCCCAATGGGAGAGTCAGAGGCAACGCAAATACATACCAGAGCTTTATGGGCATTGCTACTTACCCAACAAATCGTTTTGCGTATTAAACAAGTGACTACCCGTAAACACTCCAAACCCAAGGCGCAGAGGTTGAGGTTGGAGAACACCAGACTGACTTCTGCTTCTTCTGACTCTCTGCTTTCAGAACTGCCCGGAGGTCACTGCCCATTTCCCGAGTGTTGTGCCAGGGAAAACAAAACAAAAAGCATCCTGACGAATGAGGGTGTCAGGAAAGTGATTTTCACCTTCCACACAGAGCTGAAAAGCGGAGCTCTGTAAGACCCCAGGCTAGAAGCTACCACTCGATGTTGGTGCCGCCACCAGCAAGAGTGTCTCCAGGCCCCTTCCCAAGTCCACCACCAATGTTCCCACGGGAAGCCATGCCAGGATCAAACCGAGCGCTGACTCCAAAGCCTCTGGTCTCTTCTGCAACCGCGGCCACGGAGCCCTGCTCTTTGTGTGGCAGGGGATGGTGTGACGGTGGGCTGAGGCGGGGTCATGGTCATTATTTGCAATGTCCCCATTCTCTGCCTTCTAATGAGGACAATGGCTCCCCCCAGGAGAATCCAGTGTTTTGGGGTCTCTGAGAAAGTTAAGGAAAAAATGGCTCGAACTTATGCTGAAGGCATGAGACCTTCGGGGGATTCTGAGCAGGTGGGGTAGGACGGGTAGCAAGGCCAGGCCAGGAGAAGGAAAGGGGGGAGAGAGAAAGGGGAGAAAGAAAGAAGGGGGCAGCAAACCACATTTAAAGGAGCAGAATCCATTAGGAGCATTTTGTGAGAACACGAGGGTTTCTGTTACTTGACATTAACTCTCAAAACCTGAACACTCATCTGGGGAAAACTCCCATCAAGGTCAACTGAATATAGTCTTTCTTTTTTTTTTGAGTAGGCTCTGTGCCCAATGTGGGGCCTGAACTCAAGACCCTGAGATTAACAGTCCCTGCTGACTGAAAACAGGTTTTTTAACACTTATCTGGGCTACTCTGGTGTGGCTTTGTGACTGTTTGACCAGAAAAATCAGGTTTTCATGAAAGAAAAGGAAGGTGAAGTTTAATTTCCTCCTGGAACCCATTTCTGAGACCCCTTAAGTCCACTAATGAGAACAAATCCAAGAGGCTCTGAAGGGCTTCCCCTGCATAAATGTGCAGCATAACCACCTACTTCCCTTTGAAAGAACATTCCTGATATGTTCCAGGCTTTCTCATTCTCCCATTTGTTAAATGGAGCAACAGTCTGGGGCACTGGGGACTGTGATGGACATTTGTTTTCTGTCTGTCCAGCAGTCTTTCACTTGGTGACTGTGTGTTTCCGGTGGACCTGCCAAATCACGGTGCCACATCACCCTGACTAGGAACACATGTGACCTCGGTCCGGCTCTCAGGCCCCAGCCCCGAGGCTATAGCAACTGACCCTGAAGGAACATAGGACCCAAGCCAGACCAATCAGAAGCCGTCTCTTAAGTTGGAGCTATGTACACACACATTTTTGAATAGGCAATGGGTTTAAAAAAAAAAAAGGGCTCTTCCCCCCGGAGACATTAAAGTGGTGTGATGTAAGCCTGGAACCATCTGTCCCTTACCTCCCCTGCGGCACAGCAGAAATCCATCTGCAAACACAGATAATACAGCCGCCACAGACATGATTGCCCTGTTGACACGAGTTCTTCCAGTGCCTGATGTCAATTTTGCTCCCAGACATCCAGTTACCATTAGTTCTTCTTTGATTCAGCTAGAGTTGAACTCATCTTTGCACACTGATATATGGTAATCAAAGGCAAGAATGTCAATGCACCAAGGACAAACCATAGTTTGCTTGGCTTCTCCCCGTCCACACACGCCCACTTTCCCCACCTGTCTTTCCTTCTCCCCAGCTGTGCTATGGGGGGCATCGCCACTCTGATGGTAGCCCTCCGGTGTGCACCATACCCTTCCTATCCTAACAATTTGTTAGTTTGCACTTTCCCTAACTATACTGCGATGAACGCAAGTGCAACAGCTAGCCTGGCACCTTCCATATGACCACCATGAGAGAGAGACAGAAGGAAAGAGGGAGGGATGGATGGCTACTGACCAAACCGAGTATATGGTTTTGGTTTTTTTTTAAAGATTTTATTTATTTGACAGAGAGACAGATCACAAGTAGGCAGAGAGGCAGGCGAGAGAGAGAGAGAGGGAAGCAGGCTCCCCGCTGAGCAGAGAGCCCGATGCGGGTCATGATCCCAGGGTTCTGGGATCATTACCCGAGCCGAAGGCAGAGGCTTCAACCCACTGAGCCACCCAGGCGCCCCCCAAGTATGTGTTTTGAACTATAAACATACCAGAAATCTTACTGCAGGGCCAAATGGGCTATGTGTAGCAATTAGCCAGTATTTGGGAGGTCCGGTGCAATATCTCCAGTGGCTCCAAGGTCACCAGTGATAGAGCTTCATCCCCTCCCAAAGAGGAAGCATTCAACCAGATGGGGCAACCAAATGAAAGTGCTGCAAGTTCAAGGGCCCTCACAAGTCCATGTTACTGTAAATAAAATGTGTTTGATTTTAAGCAATACATCCAAGTCCTCAGCCTTCTCCAGCACTAAGCTAGCAACACCGTTCGGTACGGTTTCACAGGACAAAGGTGACACACCCGAACCACATTACCACTAACCACCCCAGACATGGAGTTATTATCCCTCCCCTCAGATATCCTATTCACTTTGCCAAGCCCAAATCTATTTCACAGACCTGCCCGTATTAAAGAATGGAGAAAGAAACAAAAAAAAAAAAAACCACAAGACTTGGTGCTATGATCTTTATTCAATTAAATGACCTTACAACTAAGAAACAGAAAACATGCTTTTAAAACTAATAGCATAATCTCATCCCATTGCACTTTTAAAAACGGGTATTAAATTTTAAAGCCATTCAAAGGCAAGGGTCTGGGAGAAAGTATTTTCAACGAATCATTTTATAAAGAAAAGAAAAAGAAAACTTGTAGATGCTCAGGATTAATATGGATCCCTTTAAGGCTTAAGTTCATGGCAGCATTTAGCCATCTAAATTAGGAATCTTCAGGAATCAAATGAAACCTTTCCTTGGTCAGAAGAGCATTACAGTTAAATTTTAGTTCCGGCACATGAAAATTCCTTCCAAGGAGGAACATTTTCTTTTGAAATCCTTCTGCTCCTAGACCTGTTTTGGAAAGTTCCTGTTATGGGGGTACTTCTGTCACTAATTTTTAGTTATTTTCTCCTTCCTTTTTGTTTTTATTTTTATTAGCTTAAGGTGTTCTGTGCACAAAAGATGAGGGGTTCAAGTCACAGTGCTAAATTTTCCTTTTTAAAAAACACTCTTCAAAAAGTGTTTTTTTTAATCCTAATTACATCTGTTAGTGAACAGGACACTTGTACATTCATTTTTCAGAGAAGGCACTAGGATATCTTAATTTAGAAAAACAGCTTTAACAAGCTTAACTAATTCTCTAGATGAAAGACATCGCCCCTATGACTCTGAACACGGTGAGCCATCGGTCATGGTCCTGGCAGCAGAGAACCTACCTGGAGCCGCACGCAGCACCTGTCCGTCCGCTCGGCTCTCTCACCGGTCTCTGAGCCGCCTCCAACACTGTCTATCAAAGGGATGATTCCAGGGCCACAATCCAGACCCATGGAGGCAATCCCTGACATAAAGCTAGTGATCGGAATGGTTTTAAACAAGTCTCCCAAATACGTCTTAGGCACTCTAACATAGATGAGAGCCAAACAGAACTATAACACGATGTAAGAAAGAAAAACTAACCCATCGCAGCAAATGGGCTCTTACAATGGGCTTAATGTCATCTTAAAAAACCACTTACACAGTTTGTACTTTCATGACTGAAGCTTGTCTTCATTATGCCCTATTCCTTGACTAAAATTTTGTCAGATCTAAATGTAAGCCAGGAAGATGTAGCCCACGCTGGCTTCCTTGGATGGCAGCCAACCTAAATCATCCTAAATTACATTTCAATATTTCTTTGGGGGGAAAAAAGTCCAATGAAGACTTCCATATAAACTACTTAAAAAAAGAAAGAAAACTCCAGGAAAAAATAAAAACTTTTTTTTTAAAATGACTTTTGCCTGGGTTTAGGTCAACCTACTTATCTGTAACTCATCCATAATACATAGGGACCCATCCAAAACACCACTTTTATAAGGCAGGTAAAACACTGGCTATGGCCTGCTAACGGAATGCTCAGCCAGTAACGAGGCAGTTTGTCTGTTTATTTGCCTAAAGCCTTTCATCTCATGTTAAGAGACTAGAGAAAGAATGGATACAGCAAAATGATCCTCATAGGCAATTCTAGCAAGCACGAAGACAGCGTTAACAGGAAGCCCCCCCGTGGAACAGATCTCTTGGTATATCGCTAAAACAGGGTACGGCTCCAAAGACACTGGGTCATCACACATGATCACTTCCCCCCACTGTATCTACAAACCAATCCAGAAAGATTTCTCATGAAAGAATTGAAATTTTGACTCTATTATTTTTACTATAAAAAGCTAATTGGATTTTTTAAAAAAATTTTTTCCTGAAATGAATACTTCCTATAGACATTCTAAAAACCTCCTTTTATACGTTAATAGGACAATGCCCCATGGAACTGCTGGAAACGTGCAAACCATAAATGCTTCTGTGAAAAGGCTGGTCCGGAGTGGCAGAGCTACACACACCAGGCAAACATTTGCACTGTGAACGCCTAAGCAATGTCTCTGACCCACAAACTAAAGGCTGAGGGAAGTTAAGAGGTACAAGACATGCTTTTCAACCTGGTTATAAATCTCCCTGGACTGTTCAAAGCCAGCAATGAGAATGCATCTTTTATTGAAAAAGTTGATATAAAACTACCAATTTACTCTAAAAATAGAGAAAAGAAGCCAAAGAAAACTCATTACGGATCTTCACTGAGAAAACTTGATCCAATGCTTTCCAGAGTCAGAATAAGTTAACCTATAAAGACAAAAATAATAAGACTTCCCCAGGGAATTAACCAAATTATTTAAGATCAAAACAGAAATGGTGAATTTGAACAGTAACTAAATCCTAAGAAAGTCATACATTACCACATACTGGTTCGCTTTAAAAATTCTAATACTTTAGTATTAAAATACGTTTTAGACACATCATCATTTTCTCACCATTAAAAGCATCACTCTAGACAACATTTGAAATCTATAAATGTGCCTCTACAATGCATTAAAAGTCAAGTACCTCAACATCTGCAAGGCCTTTAGCGAATATTATGAACCTTCAGAAAGATGTGAGGCCACCTGAAAATGCGCCACAATTTCAAAGAGAAGTTTCCAATTTAACAGTCAACACTAAGCATCACTGATATCCAAGTAAACAGTTTTTAGAACAAGCTGGAACTTTCCTAAAATTTAATGGCAATTGAATAAACTAGCAAGAACTTCAGGGCAAGATTGTATGTAGACATGAAAAAAATATAAAATGCTTGGAATTAATTCAGACCCATAAAAATACTTCAGTGGTGAAGTGTTTAAAATAGTAAGAAGAAAATTCTTTGATAAAGAGATTACATGCTTCTTTCTTCTGCCTTCCATTCAGACTTCTTCACGTATGTAGAATCTACACTTGGGTTTCACCTTAGCCTTTCTATCTCCCTCCCACAATAAAAATTATCTTAAGAATTAAGGCTCTCCTACCTGAACGTTTATGTAAATACTTACAGGCAAGTTTTATGGAGTTTAAAAACCCACAATTCACCATTATATTATAATCAAAGGAAAAGGCAACTCATAGATAAAATGTTATCACCCAGTCAAGGTGAATAAAAAGATTTCTTAGACACTTCTAGACCATGTCCAGATTTGGGTGTGACTTCAGTCCTCACTAAGCCAAAGCTATTTTAAAGCTACCAGACTAGTCAAGTGAGGTTAAAGAAAGGAAGATTCACTGAGCAAAACTGTCAATTGTAGCTTTATTATTAAAAAGATTAGTGGCCAGGAGAACATAAGTAAATGTTTTGGATAAGGACCTGATTTACTCCTAGGCCACATGAAACAGGACAACTGAAGGCAGTGATGTCTGGTAATGTCTTTCCTCTAGTCCTCAATAAAGTTCTGTCCTTATGTAGAACTCCTGAAACAAGACCTCTTAAATGACAACTGTGAGATATATAGAATACATATGTGTATATAAACCTGCAAACAGTGAATCTGACCAAGGCACAAGTTCAAGTGACTTATCAGAGGTCACACAGTTCATTTAAACTCAAGCTTTTTTGTTTAAAGTATTACGCTTACTCTTTTCATTATGAGCCATTCTGGCTCTTCAAGGCATGTTTGCCTCTTTTCTAAAAAGAAGCTAGAGGAATGAAGGCAAAAATAAAATAAGAGTATGTTCCAACAAAACGGTCAGCCTGTCAGTAAAAGACCATAAATTTCAGTGTATGGTGGATTTAAATAGGTTGTGGTTTTTCCACATTCTCTGGCAAGCAGGATTCTTTAACATTATAAGATTTTAAAAGTGTAATGGCATCATTTTCAGTCTTTTGTTCTGAAGCTTTTGCAAGTTTTGTAAACATTTTAAAATAGTAAGGTATAAAAGAACAGACCGGTTTCACCCCAAAACAGCATCTTTCATGAGGTTATTCTCGATTCCCTCCCTATTGTGTCCTCAAAAGCCTGGATACAATCTTAAAAGGCACTAAGTGGTACATACAGGATTTAAAACCACATTTGCAGCTTTTCCCTTTAGCTTTCTCCCCCATAAAGTGCACAAAGCAGAGAGTAATAAGAAAACAGACACAGGCGTGGATCTATATCAGCAAGGAAAAGAAATGCTTCCAATAGCAATGGAAGTAGGTTTAAGAATTTGAAGCCACGGGAAAGGTCTGTCTATTAATTTATTACTGCTGAGTTTCAGCTCTTCCCAGGTGATCCCAGATCTGCGTTCCTCTGCACTTGGACCGGGCGTGGCAGAAACCCAGACATCAGGAAGGGCTGGCGGCGTTCTCGTTGGATCCCCTCGTCAGGATGCTATTGAGCTTTTTTATCCACAGGGGGCCTCCCAACAACGGCATCCCTCATCGCGGCCTGAGTGGAATTCCCCATATGAGAAGTAGCCTGCAAGAGTCCATTGATTCGACATGTCAGTTAATAAAAGACAACCCAGCACCAAGAGAAAGACTTTGGAGGGAAACCTTCAGAAATCTCGGTCTACATCATGGGTTAGGTTCTCAGAAAATCGGGAAATGAAAATGCAGGTGTCGGGGGAGCCTGCGGCAGCAGAGACTTAGCTAAGTCTCTGCTCTGCTATCCTAGTTGGGTGGGAAGCCATCTTGGCTCCTCAAAAGCTTCTGACTTAATGGACCGTTGGCAGTACTCCGAGAAAGAAATCAGGCTCAAGGATCCGTGCACCTGGAAAACATCTCAATGTCAACGGCCATTGGCTTTGCGAAAGATTTAAAGCGAAAGAGATGCCACCCATTAGCAGAACTCAAAACAGAGAAATTTCCCAAGCTCCTGATTTTCAGTGAAGCAAATTAACCTCGGAGGAGGGGAGAATCACACAGGAAATGTGTCTGAAGAGCATGTGGTTAGACGCTCCCCAAGAGCAGCACAGTCTGTCCAAGTCGGAACTTTCTCGCGTCAGAGGGCAGTTTTTAGGCATGGAAACAAACTATGAGGAATAAACATTGACATTCTAAAGAAGGATGATACAACGTAGTGCCTATCAGAAAACAAGAGCCGGCCAGGGAAGTTTCTCATGCCTTCTTTCCCTGTGAAGCTCTTCCAAGCGGCAACGCTCTGTGGCAAAGGCACAAACACCTGTGGCCGTCCCCGCAGCCTGGGCCGCGGCACCACTCACCTGCTCTAGTACGTACGCTGCGCCGGAATCAATGGCTCCTCCCAGCTCGCGATACTGACCAGAGTACCTGATATAGCCCCAAGTAAGAAGTGCTATTAACAGCAGCCCAACCACACAGTTGAACAGCTGGGCCACAATCTCAAGACCAACAAAGCCAGTGAGGCCTGAGGCTATGTACAAAATCACGATGCCCGTGAAAAGCACCGCGGGGGTTCGGAAGGTGCTGAAGACATTCTTGCTGGCATTGTGTTTGCAGAAGTTCTCATAGAGCTCCTTGATCTCCTCCTCCAGCTCCTGCTGGTAACGAAGGCTAAAATCCTGCCCACCCATCTTCTTGGTCTTCCTAAAATGGTCCAGAGCAAGCTGCTTGAATTCGCAGTGCTTCTCCTCTAGAATGTCTGGAGACAAATAAGGTTTCTCTCCCCCACAAACCTAAAAAGAATAAAGACATAACATGTTGAAGATCCCTTTGAGAACAAGTGCCCAATGAAACAAGTAAAAACACTGAAAAAGTCAGAACATTTTAAGATATGAGAAATTAACTTTAAAATGATGACCAAGACCGGTAGAAGTCTGGGTTCACTTCCTCTGAAAAGTACATGGAAATAAGCAGGGGGACATTAACTGCACCAGAAGAAAGCTTGCTTTCTTCTTGCTTAGCAATGGAAAGAACTAGAAGACCCCAATGACCAGGGGGACCTGAACACAGCTTTGTTGTCTCGTCGGCTTCAGATACAGTAAACAGGATCAGTTTGGGCTTCCGAAGTCAGCAACAGGCCCCGGTGATCGATATGTTAGAATGAGACACGTGCCCAACATACCTCCTCCATGTTGTTATAATAAATGTCTTTGGCGGACGCTGCGGCTGCTAAATTATTGGCTTCAGCGGTGGCCTTTTAAGAAAGGAAAAGCAGAAACTCAGAATCCCCTCTTTTAACGTTCTTCCACAAATAGCCAAGTGCCACTGTCCTCTCACCCTGTCCCGTTCTTCCTTTTTTTTAGGATACTCCTGCCATTTTTTAGGTTTCTACATTGCCCAATTTATGAAATAAAATATTCCTTTTCTGCCAAAAAACATCCTTATACATAGAGTCTTTATCATCAATTAACCTCTAGAAATACCATTAAGAAATAGATGTGGGTTAAGAAATAGATGTGGGTCAAAAAAGAAGGGAAAAAAATTTGTCTTTATGTGGACTTCAAACTCTAGCTTTCTTTGTGAAGATATTTTGCTACTAAAGAAATAAACATGAGGTGCCAGGGTGGCTCAGTCAGTTAAGTGTCTGCCTTCGGCTCGAGTCATGATCCCAGGGTCCTGGGATGGAGCCCCACATCAGGCTCCTTGCTTAGCGGAAAGCCTGTTTCTCCCTCTCCCCCTCCCCCTGCTTGTGTTCCCTCTCTCTCTCTCTCTCTCTGTCAAAGAAATAAATAATTTTTTTTTAAAAGAAACATTTGACAGTAAACGGCCTTATGTTCTGCACATGAAAGTCAGAAATTGTGTTAACAAAATGACATCTTGAAAATAGCAAAATGTTGTAAATAAAAGTGGCTGAAAATAAAAAACCTGACCAGTAAGCAGTAAACAGGTATGCCAGGACATGTTCTACTAAAGCAGACAACAGGTAACAGGACAATAATTTGTCTAAGATAACTGGGCCTGTTCTATCTGAGTATAATAAAACAGTGCCCTCCACAGTACGTTTGGTGGGAAGACCAGGCCTAGTGAGGGGCCGTTCTGCTTTAACTGTATCCCCATGAATATACACAAAAAACCCAGGGAGCAAGGATGCCTGGGTGGCTCAGTAAATTAAGCATCTGCCTTTGGTTCCGTTGTGATCCCAAAGTCCTGGGATCGAGCCCCATGTCAGGCTCCCTGCTCAGTGGGGAGCCTGCTTCCCCCCTCCCTCTGCCTCTCCCCTGTTTGGCTCCCTCCCTCCCTCTCTGACAAATAAATAAATAAAATCTTGTAATAAAAAACAAAAAAAAACAAAACAAAACAACCCAGGGACAGTCACCATGAAGAATGTGCTAAAAATTAACATACTTCAGCATAAACAGGCAAGGAGAGCAACAGTATTCCTTTTTAAGTCTTATTTATTTTAGAGAGACAGCATATGCACAAGTGGCGGGGAGGGGGGGTACAGGGAAAGGGAGACAGAGAATTCTCAAGTAGACCACCCTACTGAGCACACAGCTCTACACGTGGCTCAGTCCCAGGACCCTGAGATCATGACCTGAGCCCAAATCAGAGTTGGATGCCTAACTGCCTGAGCCACCCAGGCACCCACACTCTCAAAGGACGTGGCTTCTTGCATGTAGGTCAACAAGTATCAAACAGTATCATTTAGGACGTCAAAGAACTGCTTACCTGAAGCATAGATTTGGGATGAGGCAGATCTTCTCCTTGGTAAATTTTAATATATGCCTTAGAATATAAACATAGAAACGACTGTGAAAAATGTGATTCTGTCACATTTAATAATACTTTAATGTTTAGAAAGTGACCAAACTGCATTTTCCTAAAGACCTAGATCAACACCCAGGAATTAGCAAAAACACAACACACCTTTGAGTGCATGTTAGCATTTTTTAGTTAACTAAAACTGTTCTCAAGCAGCACGAGCCTAGCAAGACTAGGAGTCCCACCAGATTCCCCATGCACACTGGCCTCACCACTACCTGTGGGCACAGTGACCGTCCGCCTTGAAGAAGCCATGTCACATCTAGGTGCCGTCTCCTCCTACTCACGGCAACTTCCTAACCACCTCCTGTCCACACCATCTTCCTTGAGGAACAATCTTCCTTTAGCCACAGTAATTACTCCTCTAAGAAAGTGCAAAGAACATCCATTTGGTTCTTAGACCGATACTGCCACCCAGTGGCCCACTCCTGGAAGGACACTGGCGGCTCTGAAAATGCCTCTCACCATCTCCCCATGAGAAACTTGTCCCTAAGCTTTAAAATAGTAAAATTCAAGTTAATGACCTAGATCAGTTTTACCAAAAGTCAAATATTTTGATAATTAAAACCCATATTTACCTTAAAATACTCCAAGAGCCCCCGACAGGTGACTTTTGAGCCATTGATCTCCTTTTCCATTAAGTTAGCTGGGTTTAACACAAATGGGATCAAGACCTGTAACTGCTCTTTGAATTCACTGGCAATATCTGTTCACAAGACCACGAAGAAGAAAACAGTAAGCCAAACGGGTTTATTCGACCAAGCTGGGCAGAAAATGCAATCTTCAGTCTACCTATTTTAACATTTGCTAGTTGAAAGTGAGGGGAGGGAGGGGCACCTGGCTGGCTCATTCGGTTAAGTGTCTGCCTTTGGTTCAGTCCATGATCCCAGAGTCCCGGGATGGAACCTGACATCTGGCTCCCTTCACAACAGAGAGCCCACTTCTCCCTCTGCCCCTCTCCCAGCTTTGTTCACTCTCTCTCACTGACAAATAAAAATCTTTAAAAAAAAAAAAAAAAAGGAAAGAGAGTGAGGGGAGGGAGTCCCAACCATGTCTGACACTTTCTGCCCATGACCACATTGCTGATGGACCTCTGTGTGAATGTACCTGTACCGTCTCCTTCCTTCCCTTCTTGAGATTAAGGGCTGCCTAGTCCACAACAGAACATGCAGAATATCCTTCCCCTGGTTTTCGTTCTGGGGGATGTAGTCTACTCCCTAGCATTTCACGAAATCTCACTTTTTAAAGAATTTTACTAACACAGTCTTCAAAAAAATCAATTATCAACTCGTCTAGTCCTCTCCCTTACCACACCTTCACGCTCCCCTTGGATCCATGAGAAATCACTATTCATCATCCACTTGCTTTTCTGTTGTTCATTTTTACGCTAAAAGCAGAAGCACCTATTCCTCATGGCATTTTTAAGATTTTATTTGACAGAGATCACAAGTAGGCAGAAAGGCAGGCAGAGAGAGAGAGAGAGGGAAGCAGGCTCCCTGCTGAGCAGAGAGCCCGATGTGGGGCTCGATCCCAGGACCGCGGGATCATGACCTGAGCCGAAGGCAGAGGCTTTAACCCACTGAGCCACCCAGGCGGTCATGATGGCATTTATTTTCTATTATTTCCTCAAGACCTTCTGGGCCATCCTGAAAGAAAAAGGCTACTATCTCAGGAAAGAGGACAGCTCCTTTGCAGCTTCTATAAAACACCCACTGAGGGTTCAGGAGAGCCATTAATGAGAGAGCTCCTTCCTCAAAGTGAGAACAAGCTGGTCCATCTCTGAAGACACAAGGGAATCAAAACACAAGGAATCTTCTTAGGTTCCCAACTAATTCAAACATCAGCTGAAAAGAAAGTAACCCTAATATATAAAACTGAGAAGTCTGACTTCAAATTTTATTCAATTCAACAGTTTTTCAGAACCTTTTCATCGCAGACATTATTCTAAGAGTTGGGGGCAGAGCAGTGAATAAAACAAAGTGGCTTCTAAATTTTTCCAGTTACAAATTAAGACTCTCTGTAGAAAAATCTTCAGGTTACTTTTATTTCCTTAGATTCTTTCCTTGGAATATATGGTCCTCTAAAAGCAATTACTAGATAATACAATGACAATGTACACTCCTGGAAGACATTCAAAATCAATTTAAAAAATCCATAAAGCCAGATAATGATGATTAACATTTGAAGTATACCCCTTCCTTTCCACAGCGCCTATATATTGCTGTCGTTTTTGTGAAAGACTGTACCAATTTATACCTCTCCCACCAACGTATAAGAAGGTTGTTTATAACTCTCAACACACTAGAGATTTTTTTTTTTTTTTTTTTTTTTTTGAGCAATCCCTATACCAATGTGGGACTCAAACTCATAACCCCAAGATCAAGTGTCAGGCTGTACTGAGCTGGCCAAGGGTTGCAACACATTAGAGTTTTCTTGTTTTTAAAATTGTTACTGACTTGGGCCTTCTGCTTGACAGTACTCCGGACTGGAGAATCTGAGGAGGCCTTCTCCCTGACAAGACCCTGTATACAATCTGTTCGTGTGCGTTGCTGGACCTGGAAGTGCAGGGGGCAGCAAGGAGCTGAAGAGGGGCAGGAGGGAAGAGGGGCAGGAGGGAACCAGACCAGAGCGGCGCACTAAGTTCATGTGATGCTGCAGCTTACCTGAGGCCGTTTCCTGCGACAGGGGAGGGGGGGTGGGGGGGGTGGGGGGGTGGACACGACGGACTTTGGGCAAAATTAACTCCTAAATTAAGCTGAAACCCAAAAGGGGTCTGGAATTGTCCAGGTCAGTAAGCCTCTAGCTCCCTGAAGAGGCACTTATCGCTCTGCAGGAAAAATCAGGAGCAAGTTAAAGATGTCCATTATTGTTGCTTCTATCCAACATTGCACTAGGATCCTCATCTTCCTACAGGTCCACAACAAACTTTAAAAATATAAAATGTGATGTGGAAAAAAAAGCAAAAACCCCATTCTTCATCAAGTGTCATAGACAGTACCTACTATCTACACATATAAATTACTAGAAATAATGGGAGTTTAGCAAGTTGCACAAATGAAAAGCATTGGCTTTTTATAAAAGACTTTATTTATTTATTTGGACAGAGAGAGAGCACAAGTAGGCAGAGCAGCAGGCAGAGGGAGAGAGAGGGAAGCAGACTCCCTGCTGAGCAGGGAACCGGATGAGGGACTCAATCCCAGGACTCTGGGATCATGACCTGAGCCAAAGGCAGATGCTTAAGCAACTGAGCCACCCAGGCGCCCCAATGAAAAGCATTTTTTAAAAACCTAACAAATTATAAATAATGGGAAGACAGAGTATTCAATAAATGATGTCAAAGTATTGGTATCTAAAGAAAAATAGAAAATGGATCTCTACTTCATACATACACAAAAATTAGTTCCCAGTGGATTAAACACAAATATGAAAGACAATGCCTGAAAGAGAGAGAGACAGCAGTGTGTGCAGGTGTGAGTGTGTGGAGAAAGGAAAGGATTTTCTAAAACAAGACTTAAAAAGCACTACAAGGGCGCCTGGGTGGCTCCGTCGTTAAGTGTCTGCCTTTGGCTCTGGTAGTGGTCACAGGTTCCTGGGATCGAGCCCCACATCAAGCTCCCTGCTCAGCCGGAAGCCTGCTTCTCCCTCCCCACTCCTCCTGCTTGTGTTCCCTCTCCAGCTGTCTCTGTCAGGTAGATAAATAAAATCTTAAGAAAAAAAATAAGAAAAAAGAAAAAAGCACTACATAAGATCAAAGGTGAATGAATTCAACCACATTAAAACTAAGGCACCATTAAAAAAAAAAAAAGACAAGACAGAAAATGGGAAAAGATATGTGCAACATGTAACTAACAAAGTTTCATATCTTACAGTACACACACAGGGTCTATACATTGCTGAGAAAGACAAATCCAATTTAAAACTGAACAAGCATGAACAGGAACTGCAGAGGAAAGGAAGCATGAATGTAAATAAATACATGAAAAGATATTCAATCCCATTAGTAACCAGAGAAATGCAATTCAAGACCACAATAACATACTGTTTTATATCACTAATTTGGCAAAAGCTAGGTATCTGGTAACACTAAAGATTGCCTAGGAGACGGGTCAACGGAATCTCTACATACACTGATGAAGGCAGCGTAACGGGAGCCACCACTCTGGAACACACTCGGACATTGGCCAGTAAAGGTGAAAATATACTAACTCTACCCTCCAGGAATCCTGCTTTTATAAAGCACATACACTTGGGAGACCCCCATACATGCACATATACTAAAATGTCTGTGGCACTATTCGTAATAGCAAGAAACGAGAAAAGCTCATGTTTCCATTGAGAATAAACTGTGCTATATTCGCAGAAGGCACAATTATACTACAATGAAAGTGAATGAACTAAAACAACATGCAGTAACATAGATAATATCAGAAATAAAACACTCAGGGGCACCTGGCTGGTTTAGTCCTTTGAGTGTCTGACTCCGATTTCGGCTCAAGTCACAGTCTCAGGGTAGTGGAATCGAGCCCATGTCAGGTTCCGCACAAAGGGTAGAATCTGCTTGAGACTCTCTCTCCCCCTCTCCCTCGGCCCCTCCTCTCACTCTAAACTAAATAAATAAAATTTTTAAAGATTTTATTTATTTGAGAGAGAGCATGAGACAGAGAGAGAGAAAGCATGAGTAGGGGGAGGAGGGCAGAGAGAGCAGCAGATTCCCCACTGAAGCAGGGAGCGAGCCCAGCGTGAAACCGGATCCCAGGGCCCTGGGATCACGATCGAGCCCAAGGAAGATACTTAACCGACTGAGCCAATTCGACACCCTAAAAATTTAAAAAAAAAAAAAAAAAGAGATAAAACACTCAATGAAGGGGCGCCTGGGTGGCTCAGTGGGTTAAAGCCTCTGTCTTCGGCTCAGGTCACGATCCCAGAGTCCTGGGATTGAGCCCCGCCTTGGGCTCTCTACTAGGCAGGGAGCCTGCTTCCTCCTCTCTCTCTGCATGCCTCTCTGCCTACTTGTGATCTCTGTCTGTCAAATAAATAAATAAATAATCTTAACAAAAAAAAAACACTCAATGAAAATACAAGTTAGCCACATACTATTTTTTATAAAATTCAAAAAATTAAAGAAACTTAGCAACAGACTACATGCTTCAAACACAAATAATGATTTTTTTAAAAATTCAAGGGCAAAATAAGCCAAATTGAGAATAGTGGTAATTTCTGCGGGGAGACAGGGAGATGGGATAGGGAAGTAGCACACAGGAATAGGAAAAGAGCAGCACACTGGGAATGCTGACTGGCAAACCACAGCCCTGGAGCCAAATATGGCCTGCTCAGTGTAACTGTCAATACAGTTTTCTGAAAACACACCATGTCTTCATATATGCATTGTCTATGCATTGTTATAAAAGCAAAGACAAGTAATTGGCCCACAAAACTTAAAATATTTACTATCTAGTCCATTACAGAAAAAATTTGCCCATTTTGATGTTCATTATGAGGTTTTGTATCTTACATATGTAAGTTCTACGTATCCTTTTACATATATAGTACTTTTCTCCATTCTTTTAGATACCTAATAGTACATTTTAAAATTTAATGGTAGCTCTTTATTTTAATTTGCTTTCATTTCTATTGCTGCTAGTTAGACCAAACTTTCTACCATATTGGTTCATCAACTGATTTCCTCTTCCCCTACCAGGTGATACA